TTGTAAAGAGATTTTACCCAACATGACATTCGCCACACAGCAGGGGAGTTGAGAATACTATACACGACTTCACCAACAGGCAACAAACCATATCTGTGCCCCACAAATGTCTGACTTCCCCATTTCCCCCCAAATTTCCCTGCCTGCTCTCTTCTCCTCTCCCCCTCTCCTCACACTTTGTCCCCAGTGTCCATAACCACTTTCAACGCTTTCATGACATCCAGTATTTCAGTCTCTACCATAGAGTATCCAGTAGGAATATGTTTTTTTTTTTGTTTTTTTTTTTCTGGAGAGGTTTTGCTAGAGGGCGCATGCGCTCGCCAGAAAGACAGAGAGAGACAGAGAAACAGAAAGTAAGAAATCACCCCCCAAGGGGGGATGGCCACGCCGCAATCCCTTCTCCTTCATTCTCTTCTTGGGATCTTGGGCATGCACGCACACGCACCTGGAGTAAGTTTAAACTGCTGGGTCTGGGACTTGAACTGTGGTCTACTACATGGGAGTCCAGCAACATAGCCATCACGCCAAGTGCTGGTCCCAGTCGGTATATGTTAAGTGAGGACATACAATGTCTCTCTTTCATAGCCTGACTTGCTGCACTCAGCAATACATCTTCCATGTCTGTCCACTTTCTAGAAAATGCCAGGGTCTTACTGTTTTTTTTTTTTTTTTAAATGGCTGAAGAGTATTCCGTGCAGTATATGTGCCACACTTTTTCAATCCATTCATCTGTTGGTGGACATTTGCATTGGTTCCATGTTCCAGGAGATTTTCATTGCACCCACATTCATAACCGCATTAGTCACAAAAGCGAAACCACAGAAGCAACCCGAGGGTCCATTAATGAACGAATGGATAAGGAAACTGTAGCATAGGCAGACGGGATATTATTCAGCATTGAAAAGAAAGGAGCTTTTGACTTATGAAAACACATGGGGGAACCTTAAGGAAGGGATCAAAAGTAAATGTTCTGTGTATTTTACCACAATTTTTAAAAGAGACTATATAGCATGTGGAAAAAGTAAATATCTTAATGGCTTATGATATGACATTATAAAGCCAATAAATAAAGATATAAAATGTGCTAAGACACATTTTAGATAAAACTTAGAAAATGTGATTCTAAGATAAATCTTAGAAATGTGATTCTAAGTCAAAGGAGCCAGACAGAAAGGGCCATACATTGTATAATTTAATTGACACAAAATATGCAAAATAGATGAATTCCTAGAGACAGGAAAAAAAAAAAAAAAGCTGACTGATACCTGCGCGCGTGGAGGAAAAGGGATGGCGCCATGGCCATCCTGTCTGGGGGATATTTCTCACTTTCCCTCTCTCTCCCTCTCTGTCTCTCTCTCCAGTGAGCACTTGCACCCTATAGCAAAAGCAAAAATGAAAACAAAAACAAACCATAGTGATGGTTATCAGGGGCTGGGGCCAGGACAGAATAGAAAGTGACTTCAGGACCAGCAGATGGCATAATGCTTACATGACTGGACTCCCACGCAGTCGGCTGTGGTTTGAGTCCTGGACCGGGTGGCTGGACACTTATGACAGGTGCATGTTCACGCCTGCCTAAAATCCCGAGAGGAGAAGGGAGAAAGGATTGTGGTGGGGCCATCTCCCCGGGTGGGTGATTTCTCATTCTCTGTCTGTCTCTCTTTGTCTCTCTTGGAAGCGCACGTACTCTTTAGCAAAAATCTCTCCTAAAAAAAAGAAAGAGACTAAGAAGTGAGTTCAATGGGAGCAGTTTCTGAGGTGTTGACAATGTTCTGGATTTAGGGCAGGGCAGTGGCCACACAACTTTGTGAGGAGGGTCAGAGTCATGGGTGTTCCCCTTAAGAGGACAGATTTTATTTTCCTCCTGCTGCAGGGCCTGTGTCTGCACGTTTTTCAAGACACGGGGTCTGGGACTCAAACTGTGGTCAGCCGTGTGGATGCAGCTGTCTAACCACACCCCTGGCTGGCCCCAAATGACCCATTTTACGATTCATACATTGCATGATAATTTTTCCCCCATGAGGCACAGAGAGATACAGGGAAAGGGAGTGAGAAATCTCCCCGGGAGGATGGCCGTGCTGCAATCCCTCCCTCTCCATTCTCTTCTCGGGAGTTTGGGCCTGATGCACACACGCCTGCTGTGATGTCCCAGCCCCTGGGTCCAGGACTTGAACTGTGGTAGACCAGGGGGAGTCCAGCACCTTAACTCCATGCCACCTGCCAGCCCCACATGTCAACTTTAAAATTGTGTGACAAACATACCAAAAAGTCCGTATATATATATTTAAAAGGATTCATTTATTTATCTTAATTCCACTTATTCTGATTTATTCTGAAGTGAGAGAGAGAGAGCAAGCCACCAGGTCCAGGACTTGGACCACAGCCCACCCTACAGGAATCCAAAGTCCTCAGACCCGACGCCACCTGCCGGCAAGAGCTATAAGTCTTAGAAAGTGTTACCATGGGAACAGGTATTATTCTGAGGGCTTTATTGGGGTCCCACAGCATTAACCATCTGAGAGGTGAAGGCAGAGGACAAAGGAGGACACGCACGACACACGTGTTCGACTCCCTCCGCTGCAAGGCCCCGCCCTACCTGTGCTTGGCGGGACCGAGGGCGGGCGGAGGAGGGGAAAGCGAAGGCCAGTCCGGGGGAGAGGCCGAGGCCGGGTACATTGGGACCCACGTGGAAGCGCGCGGGCTGCCCCGACGGTCTGGGGCGGCGGTTGG